GCCATGAAAGCCAAGATGGACTCAATGGAGACCAACAAGGTCTGGACTCTTGTGAACCCACCCTCTGGGGTGAAAGCAATTGGTTGCAAGTGGATTTACAAGAGGAAGAAGGGCCTAGATGGTAACATTGAGACCTATAAAGCTCGTCTTGTCGCAAAATGGTACACTTAGAAAGAGGGAATCGATTATGAGGAGACCTTTTCGCCGGTGGCTATGCTGAAGTTTATTAGGATCTTGCTAGCTGTAGCAGCATACCATAACTATGAGATTTGGCAAATGGATGTCAAAACCGCGTTTCTGAATGGAGATCTTACTGAAGATATCTATATGCAGCAACCGCAAGGATTCATTGCTGCAGGTCAGGAATACATGGTATGCAAACTTAACCGATCCATATATGGACTGAAGTAGGCTTTTAGGAGTTGGAACATCCGGTTTAACTCTACTATCAAACAGTTTGACTTTGAGCAAAATTTGGATGAACCCTATGTTTATAGGAAAATCAGTGGGGATAAGGTTACATTCTTGGTTCTGTATGTAGATGACATTCTACTCATTGGGAATGATGTAGGAATGTTAACTACGGTGAAAGTGTGACTTTCACAGCAATTCTCCATAAAAGATCTTGGAGAATCCACCTATATCTTGGGACTTCGACTCTATAGAGATAGATCGAAAAGGATAACAGGATTATCCCAGTCTACTTACATTGACAAAATTGTCAAGAGATACTGTATAGAGAACTTCAAGAAAGGAAATGTTCCTTTAACATGAAGTTACTCTCTCAAAGGGTATGTCTTCCAAGACTCCCGAGGAGATTGAGGGCATGAAGGAGGTTTCCTATGCCTCAGCCGTAGGGAGCATCATGTATGCCATGCTATGCACTCGTCCTGACATTGCTCAGGCAGTGAGTGTGGTAAGTAGATACCAGTCTAACCCAGGACAGGAACACTAGACATCTGTGAAGAACATACTGAAATACCTTCGAAGGACTAAAGAGTTTTGTCTGGTATTTGATGGTAGTTCACTATAGATCTAAGGGTATACTGATGCCGATTTGCAGTCAGATCCAAATGATAGAAAGTCTACATTTAGGTACATGTTTACAATGGGGGCCTGTGCAGTTAGTTGGAAAAGCAGCAAACAAGGTTTCATCGCAGATTCCATAACCGAAGTCGAATACATTGCCGCAAGTGAAGCTGCTAAAGAAGTTATCTGGATGAAGAAGTTCATTCAGGAATTAGGAGTAGTTCCGTCCAGCACATCACCCATTCCACTATTGTGTGACAACAGTGGAGCTATAGCTTAGGCTAAGGAGCCACGAGCCCACTCGAAGTCGAAGCACATCGAGAAGAAGTACCATGTACTACGAGAGATAGTTGGTAGAGGGGACGTCCTGATTCAGAAAGTAGCGTCAACGGAGAATGTAGCAGACCCATTAACTAAGCCACTTACATAGAAAGTGTTTGAGGAATATGTGGAAAGTATGGGACTCCGGCTTGTACCCGATTGGACTTAAGTGTAAGTGGGAGTTGTTAGAAAGTTATGCCCTTAGCTCCCATTAGATTGATGTATCTTTTGACATTTATTGTAAATGAATAAAGTACATAATTATTCATGTCATTGTGGTGTATTTCTATGTAATACCCTTAAACTGGACACTTATGAGACTTGTGTTAGTTTAGAATCTTCATAGCTATTGGATAGATCTGGAGAGATTTATCTTGCCAAGGCTGACACTGATGTGCCGCCAAGTTGGTTGGGGTGGCTTATCTCAGCTGCTAAGGTGAGACCTGAGGTACATGTAGTGTGGGTTTTCTTGAAACCCTGAATCGGACCAAATTCCAGTATTGCCTTGGATTTTGGAGATAGATGGGCAAAATTGGAATGTTACACCTGACCCCTAAACTCGATTATGGTATTGCACTAGGTGTCGGATTGGATTGTCTTTGATATGCCAATCAGTGTGATCCTTAGAGGGGTCAAAACCTGAGTATGTTGGGACAGTCCGAGAATTCATCTGAGTGGGTGACCATATGACAGGATCAACCCCTTTGTCGGACAAAGCCAATGATCGGGTAATGCACTCTCTTTTATGGAAACCTAAACTGCCAGTAGTTGATTTCAAACGTTGAGATTTGTTTTGAAAAATATATTTATATAGATATATACATATGTATTATGTTTCAAAATATTTGCAAAAGATTTAAATTCCTGGGATCCATGTGAGCAGAGAGTGCAGCACTGTTCCTTGCAGCCGAGGGAGATGTCCTCTCTTGTCGGGTAGTGTTTGATCATTAGATTAAGTGTAAGACCATTGAGGGTAATACCTGATGGGCCAATCTTGCATCTACTCACAGTCCTTGGGTTTTCATAAGGTGGCTGGACCCAAGGACCATTTAGTGTAAATGTTGGGCCCATTAAGAGCCCATGGTGATGGACTCAGAGGTTCACTGTCTCCTACAGTGAATTCGGCCAGGCCTTGTAACAAAGGTTGTGCTGAACCCATGTGGATGATGTGTAGATCAATGTTTGGGTCCCATGCCCTACAAAGAGAGCCAATTGGGTAGTAGGTTAAGGGGTAAGTGAGCACATAAGCTTAATGGGCCTAAAGCCCAATTCGAACTGGGCTTAAATTAGTTAATTAAAAGGAGACAAGATCTGATTTATAATTTGATTAGGATTAGCTGAAAGGATGAGATAAGTCCTATCCATTTAAGTGTCCAAATCCAAATATCAGATTTGGATCAATAAACTCTCTCCTAATTAGATTAGGAGACTGATCCAAAGAAGACTATAAATAGGGGGTAAATTCCTCAATTTTAACACATAGCAACCTGCAGAATTCTCTCATACTCTTGCCATCCCTACCCAGTTCATTCTCCTCTTGTGGAATTGATCAAGAAAGGTTCTTGAATTGTTTCTTGGTTGAAAAAACAATTAGAAGACGTGCTCACCAGCCCCTATTCGATTCTTGTTGAAGAGCCATCCTGTTGATCCTGCTTCATCACACACTGTGTCATCTTTAGTGGAAACAGGTTTTGGTCTTCTCCTTGGGCGTGAACACTTTCATTGTGAGTTATTGCTACTTCGTATTAGGTATATCCCTCTCCTCCCTTTTGGTTTCAGATCTGGTCTGGTTTTGGGTTCAAGATTGATCCTTGAAAATGCAGTTTTTTAAAATAGGGAATGCAATTCCTAGATGGGAGAAAAGAAATTTTTAAAATTTCGCCCAACCTTCCTGCAGGGTTCGGCCATCCAAATGATGAATCTCTCATCCCTTCAGGAACACCTGAAGCACTAGTCGAGGACCGGACACCTGTCAAACTCCCAAGCTCGCTCTCACTGAAAAATGACAAAGTGAAATGGCTCGCCCCTCTTCGTTATATAGAGGCAGCCAATGGTCAGGATTGAATCAAATCAATGGCATAGATCTAGTGCCGCACTTTGCACGCACATAACCTCAAGAAGACAAAACGATGCAACGTTGTGGGAAACAATAGAGAGTTTAGACCAATCGGTTGACTCGCTAGGTCCGGCCGAACTTCAACCAGCTCAAGAAGTTGAAGTTCCTCAGCCGAGGACTTAGAAGATTTTCCACTCCATCGTGACTGAGAACTATACTCCTCGACTTTAGAACTAGGGGAGTGGTGTTTAGGTGGTGCCTGAATTGGCCTAGGACGCCACGTGTCAGTCTTTGTGGTCGAACTCCTCGGACCACGCCAGCGCCGCCCAACACATCTGCGTCACGGATGGACACACCAAGGAGAAGAGTTTCATGCAGACAAGGAAAAATACTCCACCAAGGAAGGAAAGCCTTATGAGCACATTAGCGGGTAACCTCATCCCAACAATTCCGCAGGCCTAATTCGACTACAACATGAATGCTCGGTTATATATAGGCATCTCCCCCTCAAGGTAAAGGACTTTTGACTCTCGGCTCGCCTCAACACCCATTGCATTAACCTCGGTTTGAACTAACCTACTCTCTTCAGTTTGTTTTGACCGACCTCCCGCCTTTTTACTGACTTGAGCGTCGGAGTGCCTACCCGGGGAACAACTCCTCAGGCCTCTAACTCTTCTTCTGCTTGCAGATCACCTTGGTGCATGTCTTTGTCCTTCCACCTCAACCTCGTCCAATTGGCAGGATTATCTGAATGCATTCTCAATTTGAACCACCTCGGATCAGACATCATCAAAAGCCTTACTAAGATTTTGGAAGAGCTATTTGCTAGTGATCTTTAAATCGAGAATAATGAACAAAAGCAGCAGGAAACCCGTGAAAAGGAAGAGCAGAATCAACTCAACAATCCCAAAAACATGAGCTTACTAGTGATGTATGAACCAGAACTCGTAGAATTTACCTTCAATTTCCATGTTTAGGTGGTGACAAATTCAGCTGAGAAATTTCAAGTTCAACGCTACAGCTAAATTCCCCATATGGTCAAGATGGTCAGATTAGCTCTCATCCATCTACTGCCATTCCTTGTTTTTGGTAATAAGGTATGTAGGTAATGCCTTTCCTTGGTATCAATAGATGAAACTACGGTTGGAGAGAGATTAAAAGGAGCTAGTTCAGTGGGCTAATGGGCTTTGTGCATCCGTTTTGGTTCATCAGAAAGTGCAAACCTATAGGCTAAATGGGTTGGCTAATGGAATTATTAATCTTCCTGACTCCTGAGTTGTGTTTTAGGTAAAGTTACAAACTTACAATGTTTCCGGCATCCAAGATGGCATTCGGGTCGGAGTAAAATTGCATCAGCTAACTACACTCATTCGCAAGGTTGCAATTCAAATGGAACTCAATACAGGCTACGGCGATGATCCCAAACAAAAACTACATTTCCTACCATCCCCATTGTTTCCTTGGACATTCTTTGACTAACTTGATTGCCTTTGATTCAAGGGGTCGCACCTTCTCTTATTTGTTTTCTACTGCTTGAAACCCAGTTATATCACGAAATCACATTCCGAGATATTTAATAAAAGAACAGTAAATAGGGCTCTCAACGTAAAAAATCATTCAGTATTTTGAAAAATTTACTGATCAGTCAACATATTACAAAGATAATTGCCTCTGCCATCATGAAGCTCTAATTTTCTTCAGTATGATCATTTCTGTGGAATACAAAGAAATGATCTAAAAAAAGACTAAAAGTGAAAAATTTGAAAAAAAAAATTATAGAAAGAAGAAAGAAAATAATATTATACGATATACATACACTTCAGATTTACATTGTGTTAGCTTTCAATACCATTATGACTTATGAGGATATAGCAAGCTCAGCCCATGCCAATGGAGATTCTTTGAGATGGGCAGATACTGAAATGTCAATCCTGTTCTCCAAAATAGGGCATAACTCCTTCATGGATGGCCGTTTGGTGGGATCTGATTGAATACATAGGTTCACCACTTCACATACACCTTTGAGATCATCATATCTAAAATATTTCAGTTCAGGATCCACTAGGTAAGATATTACTTCTGGCAGTTCTAGATACTCCTTAGCCTGCAGTAGCAGCACAGAACTATAAGATTACTATGATTGCTGAACATACAGGATAAAACCAAGTAATATAATATTTATTCAATTTCATCAAGATATTAAAAGACAATTAGGAAGATTTAAGCCTAATCATAAGATTGTGTAATCTTATCTTTGATTATAGCATTAGCTATTTCTCCTAAAACCAAGTTTCAGATAGACTACAAGCTACATTCTCCAGATTTGTATAACTAACATGCATCTCAAAGAAAAATTCGTAGTGAAATAATACTCATGACATCCACTGTAGGATTGGAGGTACACCATGCCTATTGGTATATCTCTTTAAACAATGAAATTAAGGTAATAGTCTAATGGATACACCCAAATAACTAACAAACTGAACCAAGATATATGGGAGTAAATGTATATTGTTAGTAGGATAGTCCTATGTAGATGACCACATGACCCATATTAACAAGAAAAGAAAGAAAAAGAAACATTGGTAAAAAACAATGAGGATGGAACAACAATGGAATTTCTGAAAATACTGATCCTATGTGCTTCTTACCCAGTCCACCAAGCATCCTCTGTCTTTGCAGTATGGAAGTCTACCACTGATTATTTCTAGTAAGAGTACTCCAAAAGCAAATGTGTTGCCTTCAATATCCAGATGGCGTTCATCTATAGAATCTGGAATACTACCAAAAGAGCCTCTGCTTAAGGAACCCGAGTTCTTTTCTGATCTTGCAACTACTGTCTTCCAGCTTTCAAAATCAACCAGCTGAGGGGTTAGAGAGGCAAAGGCTATGGTTAGCAGAATCTTAAATCAGGCAATACTAAACAAAATAACAAAAATATTAACTGAAAATGATACAGGTTTAGAACAGTTTCAACTTTCAACATTGAAGACATGAAGAGTTGAGCTGATACCTTGACTCTTAATCACAATATTGGGGCTTTGGTTTGTTCAAGACTGATATACATAGCAGGAGAAAAGAATAGAAAAAACAAATTCATTCTGAAATATTAAGCAAGATTATTGTCCTTTTTAAGGCAAAAACTTATTTCTGACCCTTTTTTGATCAGTAACAGTGAATCACATTAAGTATAATATAAAGGGAATGAACACCTCCGTATCCAAAACAAATACCGAGAAGACAATACAGCAGCATATAACTGACAGACATCCAAAAGTTGTGTTACATTTAGGGTGGATTTACATCAATACCCAGCCTTGGTGTTCCCAGGTTACTCCATCCCTTGTTTCTGACCAATCCAAACAAATGCATCATTAAGAATAAGAAAAAAAACCTCACACATGGGCTGGACCAAAGTAACAAAAAGCTAAGACATGGTGAAGTGTCAGATAAGCTTTCCCTGTTTAGGAAGGCCCTGCCATGGATTCCAGAGTATTCTTAGTGCTAAAGAGTAGGGGTATAGAACTTTGGCTACCCTTTATTTTTATTTTCTTTGGATTAGGACACTTCAAATTTGACAATGAAAGATATCATATCGTAATCATATGTTGGATACACGGTGGCCATGGCACTTCAGTAAAAACCAAATACTACGGATACATTTTTATTTAGATAAAATTACTAAAATATAAATCTTGCTTCCTACTGATATTTATGTACTATTTATTTATTTTTTTTGTACATCTAATTCTAAGTGCATCTATTTTATATTGCATACTAGAAATATATTATTGATAGCATGTTTGGATGCCATTTGGGATAAAATCATTTAACGTAGTCTTCATGGCATTTGAAGCTGCAATATCATCACCAAGACAGTGTAGTTAAGGTTGCTAGGTGACACTTAAGCGATATTTTTTTTTGAAGAATAAAAAAAAAGGTTTTATTAAAAGAAAAAAGAATACAGAAGAAAGGTGATAAGATATCACCCAAGAAAGAGGCACATCCAAAAGACCCTTACACAGAGACCACAGCCATCCAAATCCAACCCAAAGCCACACCTTAAGCGATAAAAATGAATAGATAAATATATACTTTATAATATGTGCATGTAACCATATCTAAATATTATATAACTACAGTTTATTGTAAACTAGTTGGTTGCCTATGAGTTGGCCCTCCACCTAGGTGGTCAGCTATTTGACCCTCAAGCTAAAGTGTAGGCAATTTCAGACCCCTATCATCTAGGTTGTATGGTCATACCCTAGGTGGCTTCTATACCCACATTGATTACACAAGGCCAATTAATCAATGTGTAGGACTAAGTTGATCCACCTAATGATTGCATCATCTATACATGCCATTTTATTTCATTATTAACCTAAAGTGATTTGCTTAATTTTACAAATATCAACAAGTAATATAAGCAAACAAATAGTTTTGCTTCTTTTAAGAATACAAATTTCATTGGGCAGGGTGAGGTTGGGCCTGTGGTTATAAAAAATTGTGAAACATAAATTAGTCAAACTTCTCTTTAATAGCTTTGGTATTCACTTTCATCTATCTGAAACACCTATTAATTGGCAATTAATTAGAAGAGTGGTTTCTTGGTAAGTATACTGTATACATACAAATATACGTTTCTACTTGCTAAGTATACTGTATACATAATTACATATATGTTTACATTTTTTTTTTATATCTTGTGAAGGGCTACACAACGGGGGTAGCCCATCCCCCAACCCAGGTGCAGGCAGGATTTGATGCAAGTCTCCACTATGACCAGCAGGAGACCTTACCAACCAGCAGCTGATTGGTACCTTTTCTAGTTCAAAATTTTTTATAACCACAGGAGACTTCAACCAGCAGGAGACTTCATTCCATGTTCCAGCCTGTATTTATTTATTTTGGCACTGACCTATGCTATGCTGTGCCTAAGGTGGCTCAAATGTTAGGCATTTCCCAGCCACCTTGACAACATTGATTTCAGGTTTTCCTAGATTGTGTGTCAACACCATCCATTATCAGTACCCTTATGTTAAGTCCCTTATGGTTTTAGCAAACCCAATTGAACCCCATGTGTTAACTTGGATTTTCATTTTGAATCCCAAAAATGTACTCTTGGTGGAGGGTGGCCATGTTGGATTTGACCAATTCTTTCATATGCAGAATTTAAGAATTAGTCACAAACCTTAGGAGTAAAATCTTCTGTAAGATATATAGCATTTGAATTTAGCTCAGATATTGTGAATGGAGGTTGAAGTTCTGTGTGCAGATATGTTAGCCCACGAGCAATGCCTATAATAATTTTCATGCGTCGGGTCCAAGATAACTGACATCCTTCACCATCTGCAAGCAATCCTTTGTATTTAAGTGACCAAAAATGCAAGCAAAAAGAACTCATATAAAAAGATAAAAGTAGGGAGAACAAATGCTGTCTTACAATGAAGATGCTCATAAAGTGTCCCATTTGATGCATATTCAAAGACCAGCATCCTCGAAAATGGTTTGCACTCCCTGCAATAACCTAGCAATTTTCCTGTATTCTCATGATCAAATCTTGCCAAATCTGCCACCTGAAGCATGGCACGATTAATAGTTTTAGTTCCAAAGGTTTGTATAACTTTTGGTGCTACCACTTTTTTTTTTTCTGGTATGGAGTTCTTTTGAGCTAAGTTATGCATTAGGCCAGTTGACTTTTTTGAAGTTAATATTGAAAGAGTAAATACCTCTCTCTGAAAAGAAAGCTCAAGGTAGCCTGTCCAATGCTCTTCCTTTATGCAAAGGGATATTACAGCGATCTCTGGCCCACCTTTCATGGTGCCTTTGTATACCAGACTATCTGGGGAGGATCCAATGATGTTACTGAAATCTTCACAGGCTATTTCAAGCTCCTGTCTGCTAAACCTCCAAACATCCTTCAGCATCTCAGGATCTATGTCAAAAGCAAACAACCAATTAATCAGAAAGAAAATGTGAATTATGTAACACAACAAGAAGACAAATTGCAAAAAAATTGACTTTAAAGACTAACCTATGTATATTATCATGCTTTCCTTCCCATTTGAAGTTTTCTTCCATGGGATTACAACAGGAGATTTTGCTTTGCATCGCTTAACAGCAGTAACAATAGTCAAGAACAAGAGGATACCCACAATGGTTCCTGTTATGATTTCTAGAGCTAGCAACCAGGGAAGTTTATGATGCTTATGTCCATCTTCATCATGCAAATGATTAGAGTTGTCTACGGTGTGACTTTTTACAACTGTAACACCTGTAAAGAGAAGAAAGTCACTACAAAACATGTTCTATTTCAACAACTACCTAGGAAGTAAGGTCAAATACAAGATCATGTACTATCCAGATAATCATTCAATCATGATTATGATGCCAAATTATGCACTGGAAAATTAATATCCAAATCAAATAGAGAGATATCAGTGTCAAATTATATCTTTAACAAGGATTTCCATAACCTGAGAGTAATAACCAGATACTCCAAAGGAATTATTTAATTTTTATTGCATTGGTCAGATTTTTGGATGGATAGGTATCCCTAGACTTCATTTTTCTAGTTCACTTATTCTTGTATTGGAGTTCTCTCTAATACTAACACTTGAGAGACATAGTCTTCAATCAAATTTGGCACATTAATAACTACACATTTGCAATATACGTACCACACTGTGGAGCAGGTCGCTGTTTACAATCGCTATCTTGGAAGCAGTTTCCCTCAAAGCTTGTTCTGTGGAAAATCAAATGAGTAAGGTTTCCAGAACAAATATAAGTCATATAACAAAGACAAAGGCTTAAAGAAGGTACCTTGGAAGGTACTTCAAGCACTGTGGTATTTTCCCAACCAAGAAGTTGTATGAAAGATCTGCATTCCTTAGCTGAGATAAGCAGCACAAGCCAGTGCCATTTCCAGGAGATGCATACCTAAGGCAACACTAACACATAAGAAACACTTGAAGAAAACCATGTTACAATTTCATGCTTTTAAGAGTTTTATCAGACTAACTAAAGTGGGTGTGCCTCAGATTTGATCGTATTTATGTTTCAACTAAAGGATTACCTTACTTAATAACCTTATCTAACACCATCATTTCTCATCCTACATCCAACATAGCAGTGCTGAAATGGAGCCACTGAACTCTCTAAATCTGAAACAATACGTCCTTTGCTTTACTCATATCTCAAGAAGTTCAAGGATTGTTAAAAATCATGTTGTGTTGAAACTACATGTTGACAAGAATCCTACTTAATGTTATTAAACATTGGCTTGAACAACTAATATATAAGCATCTGATTCTTTATCATACTCAGATATGTCAAAAGGTGGATGCACTCCAACTAAATGAAGCCTCTCTCTATTATAATAGTGCAACAGAACTAAATGAATGCTAGCGCCAATGAAAGACCGTTCAACTGACCTCTGATGCATGTTAGATGTAAAACTTGAGTTGCTACTGCCAGGGACAGTTCCTTGAAGTTTATTCCTATCCAACTGAAGTTCCACGAGGTTCCTCAAATTTCCAAGCTCAGGAGGCACACTCCCAGCCAACTCATTAGACTGAAGGTTTCTGCAACAGCAAAAGCAAACTGCATAATGCCAAGGAAAACCAAATAAAAAATGTTCAATAGAAACATAATCAAATGCCACTTACATTTTCATAATGTTGGTCAGGTTTCCAATCTCTGGAGGAATCGACCCTGATAGTTGATTCTTCCCCAGATCCAAGACCTTGAGTGTTTTCAGCATGCCAATTTCCTTTGGAATTGTCCCATGGAGATTGTTTTTGTGTAGAACCCTGGAAAAGAAACGTTGTATTAGTAGGCTCTAATCCTCGTTCTGTAGTAGTAAATGTCAAACAAATCCTATTTGATTGCAGAAAGCTGAAAGAAATCTTACAGTTCTTTCAGGGAAGATAGAGTGCCCAATTCTGGAGCAATAAATCCCCTTAGAGAAGAATAAGAAAGGTTTCTGCAAAAGGCAAGAGCAAAATATAAAACCTATCTCCTTCATAAATTATGAAAACAGATTTAACGTAAACGTTTTCTCATTTGCACACAACTACATAGTATTGTAGAAGCGAGGAGCAATTCTAAGTATAAAAGTAAGTATGATTTTTGTTAATCAAAAGCAATTTCTGATCATATACAGTGCCAAATTTTAGTTGGAAACAGCTATGTTTAAGTTAACTTGCTTATGTAGGAGGAACCCTTGTTGAGTTTAGAAAGTACTAAAAGATCTGAAGTCTATATGTTGGGTTTTCATTTGTATAGTCCAAGTGGGATCTACTCATCTACCCGTGAAAAATATATCCGGTTATATAATGAAGTAGAAGAAGCATTTCTTACATTTTTATAACATGATCTCGATATTGTGAACAGGAAATGCCTGACCAGTTGCAAGGATCTTTATCGAGAGAATTCCAACTTGACAAAAGCATAAAGGGATCCTCATATATAGTTTCTCTGAAGGCCATTAGAGCTGAAACTGTGCGAAACATAAAAAACAGATGAAAAAAATCAGTACAAGATTTGAACTTAAACGAGGTCTTCTGGCAAGCAATACCCACATGAATCGGTGCAAATAAATGCATGAAATTAGAAAACACAAAAGTAAATCACAGAGTTTCTTAAAAACAGTTAAATCTTCAACAGTTGTATGAATATTTTGAAAATGTTGGACACACATTTAAAAATTGGTAAGAACAAAATATACCTTCATTAGATGCCAACGAATTACAAGACCCAAAAATAACTCCGGAAACAACAAGAAGAATGAGAAATGAACCAAATAATTTCATCCTGTCTGCAACGGTCTACACTCTGTCTCTGAGTTTTCTTTCAAGAACAGAAAATTTAAAATAAAAAAATACCCGCAAACTTAAACTCCAAAGAAACCCAAAGCTACACAAAAATGGAGATGGACTCCAAAAAATAAAACAGAAGAAAAGAGTAAAGGGAGCTTCAACCCCTATTTCTACAGCATCCCATTAGCGGGAAGGAAGGAACTAATAGAACTCAGGTGTGAATCTTTAGTGCAGCTATATATAGTATAGAGAGAGGTTGAAGAGCAAGTAAAAGATTTTTGAAAAACATAACAGATAAAGAAACCGGAGAAGAAAAGAGGTGGAGAGAGAGAGAGAGAGTATGTGGCATGTTGTCTGGTGTATGGTTTTAATTTGCGGTTTTCAATTTTTGATTTTTTTGGTCGTAACATTTTTTTTGTTTACTGACTTTTTTCTTTTGTAATTGAAGTTAAAAAGGGCCCATCAGTTTAGGGCCGCGCGCGGGTGCGCTGAATGCAGCGCGAATAAGGCCAAAAAATGATGAAAGAAAGGTTCCACTGGTTTCTGCCGTCCATATCCTCTGCTTTGCTACTGGCAAATTTCAACCCTGAAATTCTTTGTCACATGAATGAAACAAATGAAATTAATTAGGTGTACGAATCGGGCTGCCCGATTTAAAGAATTTCAATCGTACCGGGACGGTTTTATGTCTAATTAAAAATTGGTAAAATTTCGTCAATTAGGTCTCAAACTTTAAAATGCTATAAATCAGTAACTAAACTTTCAAAATGCCAATCATTAAATGGCATGTAAAAAACACAAATACTGTTCATTATCAATTAGTGCTCATCTTACCTCTGAACATAGCTAAGGTAGTAAGATAGCGTCCATGGCGAGAGTCACCAATACACATCATGTTCTTGGCATCCCACAACTGCTAATCAACTCTGGGACAGTCAGAGCCTAATATTGTTGAGAACCACATGAGGTCATAGGGGCAAATCCAACCATAAAGAAGTGGAGACGGGGAATGGAATTAAGTTCACGGCAAGCTTCCTCAAATCAGAGTTCAGCTGCCCAAGGAACATGAGACAACGGGTGACACCACTCATGGTTGCAGAGATCAAATAGTTCAGATTGCAAAAGCCGGTAGTAGTAAGCTTGAGAATCCTAAAGCAAATATCATACAAAGCTTCATTATCAACAACCATACACTCATTTGTGTTTTCTAAAAGCTAATGAACAGAAAAGGGTTGCATTGTATGGCTCAACCACCATATCTGAAAACCTTTGGGGAGGAGAAAACAGAAAATGCGAGCATTATCCGGTCAGGGTATTCTTCCCTTATCTTTGAAATGAGCAAAGTACCCATACCAGAACCAGTTCTTCCACCTAAAGAGTGACAAACTTGAAATCCCTAAAGATAATCACAGTTCTCTCTCTCTCTCTCTCTCCAATAATCTTTCTTCAAGATTTGATTTGGGTCACTTAGCACTGTTTTAGTCTCGAGGTAGAAGATAATGAAGTGTTTTTAGAATGATAGTTTTGACATTTTAAAAGTTTAAAATTGCACATGTCATCACCTGATATGGATAACTGACGGACTATTAATGGTAGGTATTAAATTGGCACGTTTTGAAAATTCGAGTACTAGATTGTCACATTTTAAAGTTTAGGGACCAAAATGGCACTAGGCCCAAAGTAGGATACTAATCGGGAATTTTCCCTTAAAAATTCAACACCACTCGACCCTAATTGCACCTCTCAAAAGTTAATGGTTGATCTTACTTGTTAATCACACTGTTGGGTTGCAAATGGATTGTATCAAATGTGATATACCGATATAGGTAGCAATGTGTCAACGGGTTGGTTGGTAAGGTTTTCTATTGGTTGTAGCAGTGACCGGAGACTCGAGACTTGGGATCAGATCCTATCTACACGAGTGGGGTTTATGAGTTTTGGAGGATGGGCTATCCTTCATTGTGCAAGCATAGGTCATGGAAAAAAATAAAATCAGATGTGGGTAGATTCAAATTTGATTCATTTATATTTGAATTCAAATTTAAATATTATAGATTAATAAAAGGAAATAAATATGACGTTAATATTGTATTTCATTAATAAAATGAATCGAAAATAACTTGAATAAAACTTAAAGCTATGACAATATTGTAAAAATTTCAACATTGAGGCGGTGTTTGACTTTGATGCCATTTTCGGAGAAAATGACGCCACGTAGACACTACATTAGAAAAAGCAGTGTTTTAGAAAATGACCTCTTATTTGGTACCATTTGTTTAGAAAAAATGTTGCTCTAGACCACGGAAATCGGAAAAGTGTGATATGAAGAAACGCTAAATTCAATATTTTCTTAGAAAACAGCCCGTTGCCACCAGTGGTGCAATGATGTGGCATCATTGTGGACATTGGATAATATAGACCAATGTTGAAAACAATTCTACAGCATTGGTACCAAACAAAACCAGTGTTGCTTTGCCAAAAAACAACCTATGTAGTAGCATTGATGCCAAAACAGAAAAAATGAGTTGTTTTTCTGAAAAAACGGTCCAACAAACCCTCGTGCATACAACACTGTTTTCTCAGAAAACATCTCTAAAGCAACAACATTGATGCCAAACACCTACTTAATTTAAACCAAGGAAAAATCTATGCTTATAAAAAGGTATGATAATGGAAGGGCTTTGACCAATCATCCACCTCCATCAATTTGATAAATAACCACCAAATTGGTTACTATTTTCATTATACCGGTTGATTCATTACATGCTTTTTTTTTTTATCATATATGAAAGATTGAATTTGAATTCACTCTTAAGGCTGCGTTTGGAAACAATGCAAATGGAGTGTAAATCCCGGTTCAAGGTAAATTTGCATTCAGGTTTACTTTTGACTTTATTGGAATTCGTATTTGCATCCATTACAACTAAAGGTTTGTTTGATAAGAAGATAAATTTATCAATGTAAAACTAACCCAACTTTATAATTTATATAAACCACTTTACACTCTACATATTTGCATTCACACTTATTTGCATCAGTTTCAAACACATTCTAATGGAATCGAATTTGAATTCAAATTTAGAGAAACAAAGATAGAATTAACAGCTCACAACAAAAGATGATATAAGGTTGTCATCTATACAAGAATACTTAAAAATGTGATCAATTTAGAAGGTCTCTAGTTAGTAGATTAGCCATATAATCCCTACAGGTGGTGTGGATAATCTATTTCTACTTAACGTATAAGTGAACCTTTTTCCTTCCTAGATTCCTTCAAGTAGAGACCTTGTCTAAGGTGATCTCTCGTATTTCTGTCGGATGGAGTGATGATGTGGCAGATCTACACCATCCATCGATATAAAGAATCAAATGGCTACTTGTGCAGTTTCCCCGTCCACGTCAACCTGCAATTTACTTTTTATTAATGTCTTCCGTCCACGTCAACGTGCAAGAAATTTGCATTGGGCCCAAATGATGAATGAATGGGGCCCATTTTGCAAGGTGGGCCGTGGTCATTCGGTCTTCTTGGCTAAAATTCCGGTTCAGAATCAAGTCCGATCCCAGTTATAATTATGATTATGAAGTATGTGTTTGAAACTGTAGACGTTTATTGAGTAAACGTTTTATATTTAATTTGTTTAAAAAATTAAGAAAAAGAATAATAAATTCGTTTATTGACATTTAAGTGCACAAAATAATAAATAAATGTCTACCTTGTTAGAGAAAGCTCTAAAATAAAGTTTCATCAACGGTAGACATACACATAAACTGAAACCCACTTTTACAAGTTCTTATACATACAGATTCACAACTAAACCCCACGGTTACAAAGACCCTAAAAACCAGTGCTAAAACTTACTAGAGAGATTGATGCGTGATGAAAAAAAGACAATGCAAATTTGTTGTATTGTACACGCCTCATTCACAATCACAATTACAAATGCACCGTCGACCAAACTTTAAACAATGCGTCATTTCATGGAGGTCCCACCATCACCCCCACACAACTGATAACCCACTCTCATATACCACCATTTGCAAAGGATAATTGTAATGGGATTGAATGCATTTCTATGATCATCACCGGGAGACACGTGTACGTTTGAGATCTATTTATGATTGGATGAGTTTGAATTTCCTCAGTCCTCATGTAATCCTCTTTACACCCACCTTATATCACCTTGTAGCATCACATCATAAACATCGGGGAAGTATTCTCGATGCACGGATTTAATCCGATTTCTTCGAAATCCGGATTCTGATTGGATAGTCTCACAGATATGCGTTTAGATTATTAGAGACGCGACGCCAGCTGTCAATAAGCGGTGAATAGGTGATTGAAAAGGTTTTTGGGTCCACTAGTACGTAATACGTTTTCATATAGACTATCAATCATCTATCGTTCAGAGCTTTGTGTGACCCGACTTTCTGCTAATTCCAGATTCCCGATTCAATTATTCCATCCTGTTCCCATTTTTGAATTTGTGTCAAATTTCCCACGTCTCACTGTGTGAGGGTTTCGCTTTAACGCCATCCTTCCAAGCTCCAACCCTTCGGTTCGGTAAAGCCCACTGCCCCACTGGGTTTTGGGTCCGTGCCCGGGCTACAAATGATCATTTCATTTCTATCCATTGGCAGAACCGCTTTGGCCATTCATTTGTGGGTCACTCGTTCGATCCTCCGGTCTAGTTTATTATAATTTAAAAAATAGAAAAATAAAAATATTTAAAATAAAAAAAAGTTAAAAACCATTGTTTTAATTGAATAGGTCAATGGTTCAACTGCCTAAATCAGCGGGTGAAATGGAATCAACTGGTTCAATAACAATGAAAAACCATGTTGGTAGGGATGCAATTTTGGGTAGGGCTGTAATCGGATCAGATTCGGATTGGATGCAACAAAATCCACATCCGATCCGATTACTGATAATTCAGATTACTGATTATCTACATCCAAATCCAATCCAAAATCTCATTGGAATTAAAGACTCAGACTTGAATTGGAATCTTAACTAACATAGATATAACATACTAAATTTATTATATATACAAAGTCATATATAATATAATATATAGAATAGATTTTTATAATTTTAAATATAATTAAATAAAATTTATATATTAAAATTAATAAATATTATAATATAATTAGATTCGGATTGGATGTGATCAAATCCAAATCCGATCCGGTTACATAAATACATCATCCGAATCCAAGATAATTGGACCAGATGTTGGATCGGGCTTTGGATTTTTGGGTATCATTGACATGCCTAATTTTGGGATGTATCATTGACAAGCCGATACGTCGGTATTAGTAAGGCATATCAACTTGTATTGGTGTTTTTTTTTATGTTTTATTTATTTTTTCAAAACCGGTTCAAAAGG